GTGTAAAAGCGTCTGTGTGTAAAAGCGTCTGTGTGTAAAAGCGTCTGTGTGTAAAAGCGTCTGTGTGTGTAAAAGTCTCTGTGTGTAAAAGTCTCTGTGTGTAAAAGTCTCTGCGGGTAAACGCCTCTGCGGGTAAACGCCTCTGTGTGTAAAAGTCTCTGTGTGTAAAAAGCGTCTGTGTGTAAAAAGCGTCTGTGTGTAAAAGAGCCTGTGTAAAAAGCGTCTGTGTGTAAAAGCCTCTGTGTGTAAAAGCTTCTGTGTGTAAAAGCGTCTGTGTGTAAAAGCGTCTGTGTGTAAAAGCTTCTGTGTGTCAAAGCGTCTGTGTGTCAAAGCGTCTGTGTGTAAAAGCGTCTGTGTGTAAAAACGTCTGTGTGTAAAAGCTTCTGTGTGTAAAAGCCCCTGTGTGTAGAAAGCGTTTGTGTGTAAAAGCGTCTGTGTGTAAAAGCGCTGTGTGTAAAAGCTTCTGTGTGTAAAAGCGTCTGTGTGTAAAAGAGCCTGTGTGTACAAAGCGTCTGTGTGTAAAAGCGTCTGTGTGTAAAAGCTTCTGTGTGTAAAAGCCCCTGTGCGTAGAAAGCGTTTGTGTGTAAAAGCGTCTGTGTGTAAAAGCGTCTGTGTGTAAAAGTGTCTGTGTGTAAAAGCGTCTGTGTGTAAAAGAGCCTGTGTGTACAAAGCGTGTCTCCATACTAACAACAGAAGACTCTGCTCCTCTACGCTCTCGGGCCATCCGTCGTCTAGTTTTTTGGTTCTGTGGTGTTTATTGATTTTTGTTGACATGTTTCAGATATTTGTTTGTTTGAGTTTCTTGTGTGGACGGCTCCTTCTAGTTCCAGGAAAGTTTGTGCACCTGCCCTGCAAAGTTTGGAGGATGATGAGTCTCAGTGGAGAACTTACAAAGCTCACAGCGGAGAGGCTCGTGATCGGCGTCGCTATTGTCCTGGCAGCAGCTTGCATGTTCCAATTGCAGCAAGTAATGAGACTGCAATTTCCACTGATTGAAGTCGCTGAAGGACAGAGTAATTTGATTCGGGAACGGTTCAAAGCAGACGCGCGCAACTGGATGTGGAGAAGAACAAAATCAGGGTATGCTCCGATACTGTCCGCAGCTGCGGGATAATTGACTTTAGCAAAGGTCTCCAAGTTGAACGGCTGAATTTAAGCAGCCGACCTGGAGCTATCCACTTGTGAACTCACGACCATCATTTCCAGACATCCAGACATCCCATGTTTATACGGTCGCAGAACAAGTCAAGACTTTGAACAGGATTAAACAACAAAAAAACAAATTGACATTTTGACACTTGCATGTTGGGCGGGCCATGCCGATATGTTTGGATCCCTCTGGCACAACGTACTGACCTCAAGCATTCAATTTGCAAAACAACCTTCTAGACATGGTGAGTTTCCAGAGTTGTGTGCAAAGCATTTGATGGTGACAAATCGACCAGATGAAACCTGAAGTACGATAGAGACATTTTGCAAGGGACAACAACCACCTGAGCTGAACCTTTGCGTACCAAGATTCGTTTACAGCCTCTATGTGGAGACAATCTCATTGTCAACTGCTGGTGCTGATTTACACGGACGCGAGGTGGATCAATGGTTCACCCCTGGTCTGAGGTGATGGTCCTAACGGCCACCCCGAAGGGGTTCGAACTCACTGGAATTCGTTTGTAACCTCATCATGGTCATGGAATTTTCCGTCACCTCCTATTTTCTTTGATCAAACTTTTTCGTTCTACTTTACCGTAGTTCCGTTTGGTTCTCTTCGCTGCTTGGCAAATCCTGTTGACGAGTTTTGGGATCGGGCCACGTTGATCGGACACATGGCGGCTTCATGGTGGCAGCAGTAATGGTGGAGACATCGAAGCCATCAAGTAGCTGAAGGGAAATCTTTGGGTTTTAGGGCAATCGCGCGTGTTTACCATTTTGTGGAGCGCTCTTTGGTAAAGCGGCTTCGCACACCAGCAAACACCAATCTGCAAACTGCCACAGCTGCAAGACCTTTCCAAGAATGTGTCAACATGATGTTCTTTGGTGACATGTGATATGAGTGGAGTGGCTAAAGTGCCTTCAGAGTCAATAGGCCAAAACTATTGAAAACCTGCTTCCAATATACATATATATATATATATAACCATCACCACATGTCACACATTGATCAGTCATGGCGAACGGTGCCAGTCCCATTCACCATGGCTATGGCCTGGACGCAGGTCTTCTGCCGCTGGACGCTGAAAGGCCTGGAGGATCGTTCACAAAGCTTCGCTCTGGGCCCTGAACTCAGGAAAGTTCCGCCATTGGCAGATTCGTGGGGATGGATGATGATGGATGATGATGGATGCACAATGATGCACAATGATGCACAGGTCTGTGATGAAGATCTTGCCGTCTTTCCAGTGTTCTGTTGAATTAGAAAAGAAAGGCATATAGCTGCTTTCTCATTGTCCATTCTTGTCGCTGTTAGGGACATATACTTGGGGGTTTCAAACTGGTTCCATCCATATTAAATCAGGGCCAAACTGGATCCTCCACTCCCCACCAGTTGCTGGTGGGATGCTGTCCATCGATGATTGATTGACATCTTATATTCAAAAGGCTTATCGATTACCTACGGTCAAAATAGATCATCGCCACCCAAAAATGGATGGTAGGGTTGATAATTACACAACCATATATATATATTGCCAAGCCCCTGGCTGGCTTAAAACGTTTGGCCAGGTTTTGGTGCTTGGGGGGGGGGTTGTGCACGACTGGTGCAAACCTGGGTCTGGCCGTTTTTTGTGCATCGACTAGCCGGTGCCCGGAACAAGAAAATTTGGTGTTGGAAAACACCTTTTTTGGTGTCAAATTTCAATTTTTTGGTGAAAAGTTGGTGCTGAAAATCCATTTTTTGGGGTTCAGAATGCATTTTTTGGGGTTCGGAAACTTTGATGAAACTTCTTGAGGGTTTCCATGAAGTTGCCAGGGAAGCATGGAGGTGGTGAAGTCAACGATGTGTGTGTTTTTATTTCCCCCCCTTGCACCAAAACTGGCCAAACTTTTAAAGCCAATCAGGGGATATCTAAACAGATTATTGTTTTTCAGACCGTCTTAGGCTTCGTGTTATCATCAATATTCACATGACAACTTTACACACAGGCTCAAGGACGAAAAAATGATAGGCACCGTGTAAGTGCCCTCTGCCATGTTTGACATGGCTTTGAGTGGGCTTTACCAACATGGCAATGCATTTCCGCTTTTCGAAAAATAAAAAACCATCCCAATGCTCACCAAAGGCGTCACATAGCGGTAAAAATCACCAGAAATCATTCCACCCTTCAAAATCCCTCCAAACCCCTCCAAATCTTTCCAAACCCTCCAAATCCCCAAAAATCTTCCCCCATCTTTCCAAATCACCAAAAATCACCAGAAACTTTCCCAAAACCCAAACCCCCGCCCCAGCCACCCCAAAACCACCCCCCGAACCCACCCGAACACCCCCAAACTGGCCCCCACCCGCCCCAAACCCACCAAAACACTTCCCAAATCCTAAGAAATAATCCAATTCGGCAAATTTCGGGCCAAAATCTGACACCGCTTTCGGCAAATTTCAGCACCGCTTTCGGCAAATTCGGAACCAGTCGGGAACCAGTCGGGAACCAGTCGGGAACCAGTCGGGAAAATCCGTGCACCGCCCCAAAAGGCACAAAAATGCTGGTTTTTGCAGGGATTTGGCACTTTTTTGGTCGATTTTTGGCAAAAACCCTGCAAAAAGTGCCAAATTCGACCAAAAAAGTGCCAAATCCCTGCAAAAACAAGCATTTTTGTGCCTTTTGGGGCGGTGCACGGATTTTCCCGACTGGTTCCCGACTGGTTCCCGACTGGTTCCCGACTGGTTCCGAATTTGCCGAAAGCGGTGTCAGATTTCAATTTTTTGGGTGTCAAAAAAACGCGCTGTTTCGGGCTGAAACCGGCTGAAACCAGACCAAACCCTTCCCAATCTCTAGGCTTTTTGGTAATTTTCCCGTTGGATTGACACTTCGAAAGGGGTTAAAAAGCGCGCCCTTTTTGCGCCCAAAAAGGATCCCAAAAACAGAGAAAAAGGGCGCGACCTAAAATCCCAAACCAAACAGAAAATTACCTGCGCTCTCATCTGTTGAAGATTCCGCTTCCGAGAGCGCGGATTCTGATGATAGTTCTGTGCCATTGAGTCAACAGATTTTGTTGGGCCAGTTGGGTCACAGGTTTTGTTTCCAATTTCAAGCTTCCGAAAGCCCGGCAGTTTCACTTGACAGTTTCACGGTTTCACAGCATCTTCTGGATCCGGGTAGAATGTGGTCATGTTGGGCCAGAGCGAAAGGGTTGCGGCTGTGTTCCCACAAGGGGGTGTTCCTTGTTGTAAACTGTTAAAATATTGTAGTTCAAGTTGTAGCAATAGAACATTGCAGTAGATAATGGTGGCTGCAATTTGGTTCCTCCTGAGCATTGACTTCCCATATGTTGGGACTGGTTGGTTGGTTTTTGACATCCTCCACCCCCCCAGAATTTTGACACCGTTTTTAACACCACAAAAAGGCGTTTTTAACACCACAAAAGGGATTATCAAACACCAGGCCCAAACACCAATTTTTTGATTTTGAACACCACATTTTTCCCACATTTTTTTTTTCCAGCACCACTTTTCCTTTTCCCACCCCCTCCCGGCCCCCCCCCCCCCCCCCCAGAGCCCACGTTTTAAGCCAGCTACGGGCTGGCCAATATATATTTAAGGGCTGCCGCCCCTGCCGCCGACCCCGGAAGTTTAAGACTCTCTAAGTTTCATCCTGGTCTGATTTGGACGTGTTGCGAGTGTCATCCAATGGCAACGATAAGAATCGCACCTTGCTCATTTGATCCAGTGTACATCGATCGATTGGAACAAAATAGAGCAAATATCCGGAGAGGAATTTATCGGCTGTTTTGGCCGTACTTGCTGTGCAATTTTTGGTCCGAAAGTGCTTTTATTGACGCTGGCAGTGGGTCCACCGCTCGGAAGCTCAGACTAGAAACTTTGGCGACCGGGTAATCCAAAGATGGTAAAGTGGTAGCTTCAGTGGTAACCTTGGTAACCTCGATAAGAAGTATAAGTATGTGTACTGTATAGTATAATATCAGATGCATCAAGATCTTTGTGCTTGCAGTGCTCGATCATAGAGATTGTCTGTTTGCCTCCAAGTGGGTCTCGTTTGGCAATGTCTTGTTTGCGACTCTGCCACCCAGTGGAAGTATCTTGACTTGCAGACTATGCTGACACGTGTGAGCGCCCCATGTGGCAAGACACCTCGAAATGATCTCTGATTTCAAAGTATTGCTCTCAAAAAGAGATGCATTCCCGCTGGGTTGTGTGTGTTATTTATGCACCGTCCTTGCACAAGCCGTTCTTCGCAAGCGGGCGGCTGCCTCGAGCATAAGCCGACTGGAACCGCTTCGCAAAAAATTGCGTCGGACCCAAGTGCTACGCGAGACATGGGAAGCGATCGCAGAACACAGACAAAAACGCACAGGTCATGGCCAGACCAAGACCAACGAAAAAGAAAGTACAAATGAGGTTGCAAACCCCAAAGAAATGGAGCAAAAGCCACCAGCAGAAAAGATTTATGTGTACTCATGCCCTTTTTGCCAAAAATCTGTTACTACGTCAATTGCTTCCGGACATGTCAACCACCGACGCGTGTGTGGGAGACAATTTCGCGTGCAGGATGGCATTCTTCGGCCGACGCTGCCGACAACGCACTTTTCGCACACATGCCCTACTTGTGGAACCTGCGTCCAGAGCACTAAAGAATTTGGGCGAATCCAATGCAAACACAAACAATCTAATGGCCGCGTGTGCTCCCGAACGCAATGGCATGCAAAGTAACGACAAACGACCAGTTCCAGCTGTCTTGTCGGCTTCAAATCCCAGCATAACTTTCTCCTGCCGCTGCTGCCGCGGATGCCGCCGCAGAGCTTCTAATTTACTGGTGTTACTCGTCCTTCTGCTGGCAGTCAAATAAGTTTGAATTTGTGGCCTCCGGCGGCTCGGAAGAAAACAGCTTCGAAAAAAGTACCTCTCGGCAACAAAACACTATGGCTCTGAATGACGAGCTAGTTCCAAAACCACGCCAAAAATTCTAGACAAACAGCCTTGTTCGAGAGATTCTGTCGCCTGCAGCTGCTCGCAGGACTGGTGGCGGCTGCTGCTGCTGCGGATGCCGGTCAACCAGCTTCGAAAAAAGCAGTTCCCGGCAACAAAACACTATGACTCTGAAAGACGAGCAAGTTCCAGAACCACGCCAAAAAACTCCCTAACTGGTCGTCTGAAATTCTATAGAAAATTCTATAGAAAAACAGCATTTGTCGAGAGATTCTGTTGCCTGCAGCTACTCGCAGGAAAATAGCTTCGAAAAAAGCACCTGCCGGCAGCTCCCGGCAGCAAAAAACCATGGCTCTAAAGGACGAGCAAGTTTTAGAACCACGCTAAAAAACTGCCTAACGTGTCGTTTGAAATCCTGGAAAAACAGCTTTTTTCGAGAGAGTCTGTCGCCTGCAGCTGCTCGCAGGTGGCGGCTGCTGCTGCTGATGCCGGTACAATAGCTTCGAAAAAAGCAGCTCCCGGCAGCAAAACACCATGGCTCCGAAGGACGAGCAAGTTCCAGAACCACGCCAAAAAACCCCCCAAACGTGTCGTCTGAAATGCTAGAAAAAATGTGCTAGAAAAACAGCAAAAAAACAGCATAGAAACAGCATAGAAAAACAGCATTTGTCGATTGTCGAGAGGTGGCGGCGGCTGCTGCTGCTGATGCCAGTAAACCAGCTTCGAAAAAAGCAGCTCCCGGCAGCAAAACACCATGGCTCTGAAGGACGAGCAAGGTCCAGAACCACGCCAAAAAACTCCCTAACGTGTCGTCTGAAATCCTAGAAAAACAGCACATTGTCGAGAGATTGTCGAGAGATTCTGTTGCCTGCGGCTGCTCGCAGAACTGGTGGCGGCGGCTGCTGCTGCTGATGCCGGTAAAACAGCTTCGAAAAAAGTAGCTCCCGGCAGCTAAACACCATGGCTCTGAAGGACGAGCAAGGTCCAGAAGCACGCGAAAAAACTCCCTAACATGTCGTCTGAAATCCTAGAAAAAAAGCATTTGTCGAGAGATTCGGTTGCCTGCAGCTGCTCGCGGGAAAACAGCTTCGAACAAAGCATCTCCCGGCAGTAAAACACCATGGCTTTGAAGAAGATTCTGTCGCTTGCAGCTGCTCGCAGGACTGGTGGCGACGGTTGCTGCTGCTGATGCCGGTCAAACAGCTTCGAAAAAAGCAGCCCCCGGCAGCAAAACACCATGGCTCTGAAGGACGAGCAAGGTCGAAAGATTCTGTTACCTGCGGCTGCTCGCAGAACTGGTGGCGGCGGCTGCTGCTGCTGATGCCGGTAAAACAGCTTCGAAAAAAGCAGCTCCCGGCTCGGAAGGACGAGCAAGGTCCAAAACCACGCGAAAAAACTCCCTAACGTGTCGTCTGGAAATCTAGAAAAATCTAGAAAAACAGCATTTGTCGAGAGATTCTGTTGCCTGCGGCTGCTGCTGCTGATGCCGGTAAAACAGCTTCGAAAAAAGCAGCCCCCGGCAGCAAAACACCATGGCTCTGAAGGACGAGCAAGGTCGAAAGATTCTGTTGCCTGCGGCTGCTCGCAGAAGTGGTGGCGGCGGCTGCTGCTGCTGATGCCGGTAAAACAGCTTCGAAAAAAGCAGCTCCCGGCAGCAAAACACCATGGCTCGGAAGGACGAGCAAGGTCCAAAACCACGCGAAAAAACTCCCTAACGTGTCGGCTGGAAATCTAGAAAAACAGCATTTGTCGACAGATTCTGTTGCCTGCGGCTGCTCGCAGAACTGGTGGCGGCGGCTGCTGCTGCTGATGCCGGTAAAACAGCTTCGAAAAAAGCAGCTCCCGGCAGCAAAACACCATGGCTCTGAAGGACCAGCAAGGTCCAAAACCACGCGAAAAAACTCCCTAACGTGTCGTCTGAAATCCTAGAAAAAAAGCATTTGTCGATTGTCGAGAGAGATTGTCGAGAGAGAGATTGTCGAGAGATTCTGTCGCCTGCGGCTGCTCGCAGGACTGGTGGCGGCGGCTGCTGCTGCTGATGCCGGTCAAACAGCTTCGAAAGAAGCAGCTCCCGGCAGCAAAACACCATGGCTCTGATGGACGAGCAAGGTCTAGAACCACGCCAAAAAACTCCCTAACGTGTCGTTCCAAAACCACGCGAACAAAGTCCCTAACGTCACTTCTGACATCCTAGAAAAACAGCCTTTTGCGAGAAATTCTGTCGCCTGCAGCTGCTCGTAAAAGGTAGCTCCCGGCAGCAAAACACCATAAGGGACCTCCCGGATGGGAAAACTGCTGTTGCTCTTTGTGCCAGATACTCTTCTTCCCTTACGCGCTCCCCCTTGCGTCGGCCGGGGCCGGCGGATATATATATATATATAATATGTATATACAATTATATGTATATGTATATGGGTATATGGGTATATGGGTATATGGGCATATGGGCATATGGGTATATGGGTCTATGGGTCTATGTGTATCTGTGTAAATGTGTATATGCGTCTATGTGTCTATGTGTCTATGTGTATCTGTGTATATGTGTATATGTGAATATGTGTATATGTGTATATGTGTATATGTGTATATGTGTATATGTGTATACGTGTATGTATGTATATATATATATATTTACATAACATGTATATATATATATATGTTTTGTCTATACATATACAGATAACGTAAGTATCAATAAAACTTTTAGATTTTTGGCAACAAAAAACAGAAACTTTGTGCTGAGGTTTCGATCCCCAGGGCTGGCCAGGCTTTTGCAGCTTCATCCGAGTGCCTGGGCACCCAGCCTGGGACGATGTTGAGCCTTCACGCCATGGGAGTTTTGATGCCAGAGGTCCTTCCAACTGCCTGTCGACCGGAATCTTTGCATTAGGCGGGAGTTTGCTCTTTGAATCGAAGTGATTGGGCGCTTGAAGCACTTGGGATGCTGAATGCTACATCCCAGTTCACATTTGGGTCTTATGCGCTGCTAGGATGTTTTGAATGATCTTTTCTAACCCTTGAAGCCAGCAGCACCTTGTAGCTACTATCGAAAGGTCCAACGTTTCTGATGGATTTAGGGGCCCATGTGTGGAGGGAATGATTGATTTGTTCCGGCTGCAGAAAGCCCTGGCAGGCTATCACTCAGTAGCAGTCGAAAGGTGGCTGGCTCGCTCCCAATTGCATCAAACCCAGCACGGCGGGAGATACGTCAAAAGCTGGAGGCTCCCCGACTCGGATAGGCAAAATTTATCAAAATCCACACTTGAGTGATTCCAAATTTGGGGCAAAGTTGCCCAACACTTCCTATTCCAATTTCATTTTCTCCAGTGATGGCGGATGGCACGGCTGAGGCGGATCTGGCCATGGCCTTTCTGGACCTGGCAGAGCTGAGTGCGGAGGAGCGTTTCAAGGCCCACAGATGGACTGGTCAACTTTCAGGATGAACCAAATTTTGGTTCATTTTTGGGTGCACCAAATTTGACCCATAGCATCCCAGAGCTATGTGGATTGGTAGATGATCTTGTTGAATGTTGTTGATCTCTCAATGGGATACGACTCCAGGTCGACTTTTTGGAGCTGCGGGATGCGCGGTTGCAGGTGCCAAGACCAACATAGCAGTTTTGGGGAGGATTCTACGAGGTTATTGTAGATATTTATAGATATTTATAGTTGCATTGATTGTACTAATAGCAGTTTTCAAATGTACACATAGACCTCGAGGTTTGCCCAAGCTCCAACTACCAGCCACACTACATTATCAGACATGTTCTAGACGTGGAACAATACAATAAAGCTATTCAATATTTTACGCGAGGTTCAGGGTTACAGGGTTCAGGGTTAAGGGTTTAACGTTGACAGTCGACAATGATCATGGATCATGCATCCTGGATCCTGGATCCTGGATCATGGGTCGTCATCGTCCTCGTCGTCGTCGTCGTCGTCATCATCATCATCATCATCATCATCGCCCAGGTGGTCATTGAGAGTCTGGGCAAACTCACGGTCTTGCTGTATCAGTAGTAATATTTCTAATAGTAGTAGTAATGATAACTTGTGATAGTCATAGTAGTAGTGCTATTTGGATGAGTCCAGAAATTTCTTTCAGGTCGTGGCCATCGCCAAGCTTCATAGCGCCTGTCAACAGCGATGGAGCACGGAGCAGTTGCCCCTGGTTCCGGCAAAACAGGCCATCTGCCAGATTTCACAAGCCAGTTTCTGCAGTTCTTACCGCCAAAAACCCGTCACTTCGTTCTGAAGGCTTGCTTCCTTGACCACGCAGTGGACGCCCAGGCCGTCTAAAGAAATGGAATCAAAATTTGTGATGGTCCAATTCAATGAGCTGCAGGCTCGCCGGCTCTATGAGCACATTGCAGCTGCTGCTGGCATAGCCTCGGCCCAAGGAACTTGTGTTCCTATGAGATGAGACTTTACCACGGAGATTGTGATTTGCTCTTCTCTACGGAGGATACGAATCTTAAGGTCTTTCAAGCTCAAGCAACTCACGCATGCTGGCAGTGACCCTGAAACTCCTGACTCAGGGTGCTTACAGCCCTGCAGCTAGTGCTGGTGCTGGCCGCAGCCTTCCGCGGGACAGATATGGTTCAATTTTTTGCCCTGGCTGCTGAAATCTGATGACCATTGCATTGTGTTGGCAGGAGCCAAGACATGTGATTTTTTTTTTTCGACCTGAAAGGACCCAGAAATAGATGGTGATCAAAAGCGCAGAGCACCCAGTCTTTCTTGAATGCTAGTTGCACTGTAGTTCACTAAGACCTTCTGGAGCTCGGAGTTATTTTTGGTTCAGTTTCAGGTGCCAGTGGCTCACCACCCAGAGCACAGAGCAGGGAGGTAGCTGGAGAAGCTCCTCGAGCCGTGAAGAGTCCCGAGCAGTGCCGAAATCCGTCGGGAACCCCAGACCTTGCTGCCACGACAGACGTTGCAGTGACAGACCTTCGAAGAGGTTTTGGCATGTCATTTTGCTTGTTGGAGTGCTCTGACAAAACTGCTCATTTTCATGGTTGCCCCTCAGGGCGCAGACTCAGACTCCAACAGGTCCATCAGGCAGCGATAGATGGAAGATGGATGAACATGCTTCTCGTTGGTGGGTTTATTTTCTTTCCATGTCTACTATTATCATCTATTACCTGGGATGATGATGATGATGATGACGATGACGATGACGATGATGATTATGATGATGGTGGTGATGATGAAGATGGTGATGATGATGATGATGATGATGGTGATGGTGATGGTGATAATGATGGTGGTGGTGGTGGTGGTGGGGTGGTGATTATGATGACGACAAGGGTAACAAATACCAATGAGTTTTACATAAACCTTCAAGGGGACTCGGTAAAAGTCAGGGTATGATTCTATCGCCGCAGGTGCCCAAAGCAATGGCATCCTGGAGGACTTCTTGGGTTTCTCAGCTGAAGCAGATAGGAATTCCGTGCTTTTCTTCAGCTTGAAGCTGGACTGTAAGGTTATTGCCATTGTGGAAAGCAGTCTGAATTCGCTTTGCAAGATACAAGTAGTACCCGGGCAAGCCTGGGGCGGAAGTTTCAAAATTGAAACGCTTATAGCCTATAGAGCGGAGCAAGGGCTGTGCCTATAGGCTGTGCTTCGTGGCAACAGGCTCTTGGCTTGTCAGTCTGATGCCATGTTTTTTGAATGTTGAATCTTTTCTCATTTCATCTCATCTCATCGCATCGCAGCTTCTCTTGAACATTTCTCACTGCATCCCACTGTCACCGCAGCCCGTGTCATCCCATCTCATCTCAACTCATCTCATGTCTTCTCAGCTTTTTTCACCGCATCTCACCTCATCCCATCTCATGTCTTCTCTTCCATCCTCAGATCTTCTCAGCTGATCACGACTGTTCTCTTCTCTTCTCATGTCATTTGAGCTTTGCTCATCTCTTCTCATCCCATCTGGGCTTTTTCAGATTTTCAAAGCTCTTCTCAACTCTTCTGAGCTCTCCGCATCTTATGTGTTCTCATCTCTTCTCTCCTCTTCTCACATCTTCTGAGCTCTTCTCACATCTACTCAGCTGATCTCAGCTCTTGTCAGCTCGTCTCAGCTCATCTCAGCTCTTCTCAGCGCACTCTCAAATCATCTCACCTTTTCTCGCCCAAAACCTGCTCCAAAAACGGATCTCGGCGCCAAAGCAAGCAACCCCTACGCTTTCCACAGAGAAGATTTGACACAGAGAAGCTTTTATACACAACAAGCTTTTGCACAAAGCAAGCTTTTGCACACAGCAAGCTTTTACCCAGAAAATCTTTTACTCACAGAGGCTTTTACACAGAGAAGCCTTTACACAGAGAAGCTTCTACACACAGCAAGCTTTGACACAGAGAAGCTCCTACACAGAAAAGCTTTTACACACAGAAAGCTTTTACA